TGAGAATGCTGCATCTATATCATTGCTGTTTGATCTTACAGCATCTTAAAAAGATTGATGACAACATTTCAAGTTTGGTCAGGTATAATACTGTGTTAAAATAATATGGTTTTAAGTTATATGCATTTTGGGATTAATTCTGTATAATAATGACATTTTGATTGAAATAGAAAATGTGCAAAAATGATAAACAGATCTTGTACACTTTTATTAAAATGTTTTATGGGGTTAAATTATTACTCTGGAGATAAAATAGAACAAGCATGCATTAAACTGATTTAAATTAAGTAAAACAAAATATTTAAAAAAAATGAAAGAATTATAATTTGGCATATTTTTACAAAAAGTATCTCATTAATTCATATATATGTGCAAGAATTACCAGAAAGAATTTAAATAGATGAATATAGAAATAAATATTAAACTTGTAATATCAACATTATCCAAGTGGTTTGATAGATAAATTTTTATTCTGTAAAAAATGATCCACTTGTAGATATTAGAAATTCCAAGTTAGCCTGTTATATATAACTTTTTCTTAACTTTGAATATTTTCCTATTAATTTGGTTTAATTCATGAACATATTTTTTTATGTTTTAGGTAACATCAAATGTATTTACTGTTTCAATGACTACATGTTAAAACTGAATCAGACAAAATATAACATATATTAAAAGCAATCTGTAGCCATATATAAATAATTAGTTGTTGTTTCCCAGAGGTTACTTTGATCCACACATAAACAATCCCAACATTTTGATGGATACTATAAATAAATTTTATCACATGAATTTATAGTTAATCTAAGGCTTCAGCCAAAATATTTGTAAAACAAATCAGATTCCACAATTTTAAACAATTATTTTTATTTTAAAAATGTCAAATTTTATTCTATAGAAAACAAAAATAGATGATTAGAAATGTATAAAAAAAATAATTCTACTGCACTATAACATACTGTTACAGAATTGTCATAGTTATTTCCCCTTTCTTTATTCTTTTTTTTTTAATGTGCTGTGTCCGTTCAGGACTTGGTCGATCATGGCTCTTCACAGCTTCCTACCCCTTGTAGCGCTAAGCAACGTTTGACTCCTACTGTCCCTGCTTTACAATTCATTCCTCCCAACTCATTAAGTAGGTTACACATTATTCACTGTGACCCCCTTCCTTCAATATTTCCTATAAAGTTACAACAGAAAAATATTTCAATAATTTATAATTATTATACAAATCAAATAATGGGAAAAATTGACATTTTTTTCCCAGAATAATGATTTAAAAAATATGCAGCATTTGAAGTATTTTTTTAAAATTTCTTATACTTTTTCTCATAGCAAAAATTATCAACTAGTAGTTAGTGAACATTAAAAACATTATATAAATAATTTAATATAAGGTTTAAGCCACAAACAAAATTTAGTTGATATGGATTTTAAATATTAGTTTGTATGGCAATCATTGTTTTTAGAATGAATAACAACAGTGAAAAATAATGACATAAATGCTAGACTCTAATAACTTCTACAGTAGTAAAGTTTAAAAATGGTGTTACAGAATGTGTAGGCTAAACAAAAATGATAATTGTAATGAATGTTATTCCAGACTTTAACATAATGGCCTGAATTTTGACAACTTCAATTGAATGGGGGTGATCTGAATCTCATGGGTGCGAAATGCAAATACAGATGGATCGTCTTTGTCTAAATTTTGATACAAGACTATATCAATGGACAGTATAGTCGTGGCAGTAGAGAAGTCAATTAATGCTTGTTTGGACCTTCTCCACTCCCATTTGCTTTGCATACCCATATTTTAGGTATGCACATACCCTATTGACCTCCATCCAATTTCCCACTCTCACTCACTTCATCTAAGAAAGAATGCTTAATATGCTCCCACTCCAAAAATAAAGTGAGTAAAAAGAAGTCTGAAGAAAACTGTGCATTTTCAACTTAGTCTGTTGATTCAGCATTTGGGTCCCAATTGAGGAATTACTGAAAGACCATTAGAATTCAGAGACGACTACATAAAAATGGACACCATATGGAAGTCTTATTTCAATGTTTTAAACCTAATGTTTGATCTTTAGGAAATTATATTTAAGACTTGATTGTCATACAAGACAGTAGGTTATTGAATAAAATGTATCAAGTTACTTGGTTGTTGTGAGTTCATTACCTGTGTCAGGCAGTACACATGTTTTGGATCAGTAGATTGAGCAGAAATTGTACCATAAGAATGGATTATTCCAGAATTTACTGTTACAGTCTGCACAAAAATTGATATTCCAACAAACCTGAAGTGCATAACAGTAACATTGTGTCTATACAAACCAAGATGAGGATACATGTTCAAACAGATCAATATATGAATTATACAGAACTGGGTTAAATTTTAATTGCAAGGTTAATCATCATTTTAAGGACTCTGGAAAGAGAAATATAATATTTAATAACATTTTGGTTGAAAAAGAATATATACAACTAATGTAATAATCTCTGTGATAAACTGTTTATGCAATGATTTTGTAATCTGAATATTATATTCTTGCTAGAATATTACCACACATTACATATACAGATAAATAAGTATCCCCTCCCACCCCACCAAAAAAGGGCAGTAATTATTATTTTTATTAATGGTAGAAATAGTAGTACTGTTAGCAGAAGCAGGTTTAGAATCAGTACACAAAATAGAATCAGAAAAATAGGTTCATGCTCAAAGTCTGGCTGAAAACTGCTTTCATACTATAATCCTCAGGAAAGGCCAGAATCTACATTACCTTGCATTCTGTTCTATTCTTGCATGTTATTGATAGCTTAGGACAATGGTTGGAGAAAAGTGAATGTTTAATCAATTAAGCAAGTCACTCTCCCATAACTACAAATATACTGGAGCAATAAAACATTTCTTTGCTTAAACCAGACTTGCACAAAATATGACCCATGGAGTACAAGGCTACCTAGTGTGGCCTGCAAGGGTTTTTTGAAATAGTCAATTTTTTGTGTTCATCTGAATAAATTCAATGACTGATCACATAAAAAAAAATCAGTTTTGTAGAAGCATGACTTTGTGCAACCAATATTTCACTTTGTATCTAATTAATCCTTTAACTCTCTGTAGAAAAAGCAAAAGAATTTTCTCACCATCCCTCACTCCATATACCTGTTTCTTTCCCATTCATACTTAGTAATTTACTCTAAATATTTACCCTTGCAGCCTGCAACTAATTTTCTGCAATTGTGATCTTTCACATTTTTTTAATTTGTGTAGAACTAGCTCTAACATGATTTGTAAACCTCATTGAAAAACTAAGATATTTACTGCCTTATTTTAATCTTTACTTTGGAAACAGCTTCCCCTATATTAGTACACTTGTGAAATACCACTATATTTCTATAAATCTAATTTCAAGGGAATGTTAGAAATTAAGTTTTAATGACCTGAACTATCATTAAGAAAATATGCTGTAATGATTTGGATATTTTAACTATTAAATGTTTTTGACATTCTGATATCTTAGATATGCATTCTCATTTAATTTCTTGATTTTTTCCCCAAAATTTATTTCTTTAACTTGTAATCAGAATATTAATAAGTAATAAGAATTGTTAATCAAAAAATTGTTTAGCTATTTTGTGTTAACACCCTTATCACTTATTTTAAACAAAAGAAATTAAGAGGCATTAACTCCATATCAAATTTTGATGAACTGAAAAAACATGAGAAGTATTTTTTGCTTAATTATTCTTTTCACTAATTAATATTTTTCTCTTCTTAAAAGTAAAAACTTAAATGTAAATTTTTATCTTATTAGATAAAAATTTACATTTAAGTTTTTACTGAATGAACTTTTTAAATATTTAGTATTAGTGAAAGAGCTATGTATCAAATTAGATTATGCCATAAGGCTAACTCATAGGACAAGAATGGAAGTGATTAGTTTGAAAGAAGCAATCAACAAATTTGATACTAACATACAATGCTTTTGTCTGTAAGACAAAGTGAACAACTGCAAAGATATGATATAATAAAATTTATAAATAAGATATTCTTTTATCTTCAAATAGTAATTTGGAAACAAGTCATACTGAGAAGATATTTGATTATTTTGGCAAGGGATGGGTGCTTAGCAAGAACAGAAAGCATTTAAATAATTTTTATGGAGCTTTCTTATTTCATTTTATCATTCAAATATGTTGCATATAAAAAGTAGAGTGAATAGACTAGTTTCTTAATCAACCATCTTTAATTGGATGATTACAGATCAAAAAAGAGTAAGTTCCTTATTTTGTCCTCCACTTTATTCTTTCTCTATCAATCCATTCTCTTAGTTTTATTTTAGAGATTAAAATAAAAACAAATTAGTCTAAACCACTCTTGAAATTTTACATGTGCAACATCTTGAACACTAAATACATATTATATTGGCAAATATAGTCAAATTAATTACTGATTATGGTATTCTTTTACCATGACTATGGCCTTTACATTTTAGAATATTCAAACATTTGGGGATAAAAAAAAAAAAAAAAAAAAAATTAAAAAAAATCAAACATATATGAAAGATATAAAAATATTGTGTTTTATTAAATAGTTTAAAAATTTATACAAATGTTAATACAAAAAGATCAAATTTATTGTATTTAAAAAAAATTGATTGCTAAAACTATATTAATATATTTCATTACTTATTCGGGAGGAATAGATTGACTTAAATTCTAATTGAAAAATAGAGTTACCTACCTAAAAGTTGAATGATAAAAATATTTCCTCTAAAAAGTTACTAATAAATCATTTCCTGCAATATATCATCATGCACTTCATTAAATATCTTGAAGCAAAGTCATAAAAAAGTAGAAAAGGCACTTTTCAGAAAATGTCATTATCCAGAAAATGATATTTTTAAAATGATCATAAATGAATCATGAAATTTCAAAATTAAATCCCCACATTGTTAAAATATTACAAACAGATCCCAAAACTATGTGGAGACTTATTAAGATGGGTAGTCAATCAGAAATGTTCTCCATTCCAGAGTATTCTCACGGGCAGCTTTATCATGACATGCTTTCTGCACTAATTTGAGATTTTTCCTAGTGAAAAGTAAATCATACACTTTTTGCCATGATAATTTTTGAGTGTCATCTTTTCTTTTGGCTGCCTCAAGAAGAGTAGGGATGACAACACGAGATTTTTCAATTCTGAAATATAAATTTAAAGATTTTACAATATCAAGATCATATTGGTTATCAAATATTTTCAAATAAAATTTTTTTTCAAGTAATATATATTCTTTACAAAATTTGATCAAGGTTTTAGAATAAATTTTTAACTTATAACATCAGCATTTTTGAAGTAAAAATAAAAATAAAATAAACAAAATTTGCATTTAGGCTGTGCATATAAGCAAAGCTCAAAATGTTAAATAAGAAATACATTCATCTCTAACTCTGATGAAACACAATTTATGTCTCAGATTACTATGGCAATGAGTGGTGATGTCTCCATAGGCAAGTGAATATTGAACTTGACCCCCGCCAAAAAAACAACATATTTTCAACATGCAAAAATATACACATAATAGCTCTCTTCTATCAGTAATCTTTATCTTAATTCCGGACCATTGACAAACCCTTTCTTCTTCATTTGCAATGCATTTATATAAAATCATCTTTAAAATCTTGTTATAGTTTGAAAAATTTGTTTCTAAACATTTGCCAATTACTCCATTTACTACATTTTACCCCATTTATTACATTTTCAGATTTTTACCCCACACTTAATTTGACCTCCCTCTTATTTGACACCCAAGAGTAGTTAGAAAAGCAGGTTTCAAATGTTTGAAGACAAGAAGTAGACAACTCAATAGAAAAATATTTTGTTTTGCTGCATACTTTTTTGAATAAATTAAAATACAATAAATGGAAAATATCTATTTCTATAATATAACTGCAATATTTTTCACAGCAGAAAAGTTAGAAAACATTTCAGGTCATCAATGAAAACAAAAGTTTTTTATCAAGTGCTTTTATTTTTGTTTCATAGCAATTATGAACCATTAATTACATTTTCAAAATATGAAATTATATCTAAAAGAAAAAAATATAGTGCAAATAATGTATAAATAGTTAAAAAATTATATACTTTATTTGATAACATAAGATTCACTTTTGTAATGGCATATGACTTTTGACAAAAAATAGCTACAAAAATAACTCCCAGCTCTTATATGTATGAAGTGTGTGATACAATTATAGATTACTATATACTTGTACTGAACCTATAACTCCATAATACTATATCATTAACACTTTCATTGCAGCACTGTTAGAACATTGTTGCTTAGATATGTTGGTCAGTTTTTGAGAAAAACAAAAAATTATTATTTACTGGAAATAAATGACTATAAAGATACTGATAGCGATTTCTCATGAGCACTGCCATTTTGGTTTCAACTGGGTACTTTGCAGTATAGACTAATTAAACAATACTCCAACCCACAATATAATAAGAATGTTATGAAACAAGTTGCACTGTATGCTATTATATATCTACAATGGTTTGAAAATAGTACTAAGCTTGTGCTAGTTTATAACACAAACACTAGTAAATAAAATCTGACAGTATCGTGAACACATATGTACATCAACAGCCAATCAAGTCTTCATAAAGACATACATACAACAGCAGAAGCATTAAATTTAAATAGAAATAGTCTTGTATGCCACCAAATGTGGTATTTATTTTTCATACTAAACATTTAAGAAACAAATCTATTCAGATTTTTTAAGTTTTGTTAATTCAGGCTAAAAAAAACATTGCCTTTAGTATTTGTTCATTTTTAATAGTGTATACCATAAATTGAAAAAAAATATAGCAATAACAAATCCTTTTATAAGATATGTAGAAATACAAACCTAATGTTACTACATAAATTAGTTGCATGATAGGACTTACACAAACTTTATCACTGCTTATAAATTTCTTGTAGCGATATAAACAAGAGAATTTAAGAACATTATAATTGTTTTTACATGAGTCAACTGGGTCCCACCACCACTTATCAAAATTAACTATGAAGCTAAAGATATTTTGCTGCTATTGTCTGTTTATGGAAATGATAATTGAGGAGTGGTTTGCCAAAAGCTTATTCACCTGTTCTCTTCCCTTTCAACTATCATAACAATGAGAGATGAGAGATTACAGGGAAAAGTGGATTCATGACTTTCCTAAGAATATTAACCAAAGAAAAAAAAAGTAAATGGAATCAGTGAGTTTGAATTCTGGCTGACATTGCTTACACTTCACATTCTTTTTATTTATGCCATGTCCCTACAGAATGTGGGCAATCCTGGTTCTCCATAACTACCTTATAAATGGCATGAATATATTTCTTACTGCATTTTGTCATAATGTCTTGATAATAAAGTTGTCACTGGCATATCATGCTAGTTGAAGAGAATGGATGGATGTGTACTTGTGTAATACACTATGAGGCAGAAGTAGCAAAAAGCTGTTACCGCTATTGAATACAGACACACTAATTAATCAAAGTAGTATTTATTTGTTGAAAAAGATTAAAAAACAAATACTTACATATGATCTAACTCCCATAAAGAAAACATTACTCTGTGAGTATGAGATATATATGGATTTATTTTGTGCTGTTTTTCACAAACATTCTGGTTAAATTGTCCCTCACAGAAAAACCAGCCCATCTCATCACAAATACGTTCACTGGCATCTGTCCGTGCAAAGTAACCCCCATGGAATTGATTATTACTCAATTCTTGAGACAATTCATTCAGAAGGTCTAGTAGATCATCTTTATTTTCTAAGTTGGTTGTCTCCTCAATCCTTTTTTTTGCCTAAAGAAAAATAGATTAAATAAGAAAATAGACAGCAATACAAGTATATAGCTGCATATGTATATATTGCTTACAGTCATTATACATTATTTGGTATTTATGTAACAAGTACTTCTACAGAGGCACAACATTACCACATCTACACGAGAGAACATAAAACTCTAGCAGGACTAAAACCCATGCTGCCCATACTTGAAGATGGATCAGGTGATGGCGTTACTTGAAACCGAGTTGCAGTCATTATGAAAGTGTGTGTGTGTCTAGAAAAAATAGAAACAGACTGAAATAGATAGATATACATGGAGAAAGATAGAAATGAAGATAGAATGACATAGAGGAGAGAGAAAAAGTGAGTGTGTGATATAAGAACAAAATGTTAGAATATTTAGAGAAAAGTAAAAACAGAATGACAGAAGATTAACAGAGATAAGAGCCAATTGAGATAATGGAGAAAGATTCATTCAAAACAGTGACTTTCAAGGTTTCAAACTTGACTATCAATTCTTATATTTGATTTGTTTTTTTTTTAAATTAACTACTTAAAAAAGTTTCTATATGAAGAATAACTATTTAGTAATATAAACAACAGCCTATGTTACAAACAATAATAGAAAGTGTATCTTTCCATGAAAACATTTTTTAGACATATGTATATAAAGGAAAAACTGCACTTTCTCAATGCAGATTCAATCTTAGATCTCTCATGCTACCTATACTATACAAAGTCACTACAATAATGTTAATTATGTTAACATTAAAGTTCAATTTTAATTTTGTTTTAATGTTTGGCAGTTGTGAAAAGTTAACTATATCTCTGTGAATAATTTTAAAATAAAAAATGTTCATGTTTAGTAACAATTTTTGTTTTTGCACAATTCTACTGATAATTTTTTTTAGTCTATATTTTGTCTTAAAAATTTAATGCCAAAATGATGTAAAATATTTCCAGCTTAAAAAAAAAAAAAAAAAAAAAAATCACATTTTCCCAACACTGACCACTGTATTTTAATTTGCATCTCTTTTGCCATGTCTTTTATGCAATCACAGCTATTTTGACAGACTCTTATTTGTATTTGTTTTATTATATATTAAAAACTGTCTGATCCAAGATAATTTTCTCTGTATAATATGAAAATGTGCTGAAAGATTCTCTGCTGGATCAAAAAAAAAAAAAAAAAAAATTTAAATGATAAAAACATTTTATTTACAAATTATTAGAGGTTAAATATTTAATAAAGATAAAATTATTGCACAAAAGAGAAAAAACATTTAGGAATCATGAACTAAAAATTAATTCACTAAAACCAAAAGAATTAATGTTGTTATACTTACATTCATGTAGTAACTTCTGATTCTGTTTTGAGCACGATTTTTCATATAATCTGATTTTGTCTTATAGGATTTGATACCTAAATTTAAAAAAAAAGAAGAGAGTGGAAATCTTTTTTCATCAACAAAACTTAAAGGATGACAGTAACATTGAAAAACATCATTGAAGCTTATCAAGTAAGCAAGTCTTTGAATTTTTTAAATATTTCCATGTTTATTGCTATCATTCCTATAACATTATTTATGAGGAAGTACTGACAAGTTTCCAGTTCAACTCATTTCTTGAAATCTGATCAAATGACAATATATCAGTCTATTTTGGAATCTCTTCATGGTTGAGCTGAGAACTTACTTCCAGCATTCCATCATACATATGCATTAAACATTAACTTTACTCTCCTGGATATGATTTTCTGTAATCTTGTTTAAATTAATGTCATAACTTTTTAAATAAAATTGAATCCAAAAGTATAATATCATGATGGCCTCCAACATTTGCTTTCAACCACACCATCACAAATGAAATAGAATTTTGTGAAAAAAATATAGATATTAAGAAAATTCATAAATTAATTTAAAAGCAATTCAAAAACAGCAGGAAAACAAGGTGGCGATAACCTTAAGAAAGGCTTTATCCAACAAAAGAAACTGAGCCAAACAACACTATTGGTGTCTCTCCATATAATCCCCCTCCTCAAAATACAGCAGAATTTATAAAAGAAAATGTATATTCATTTGCATACCATAAATTTACATATAAAACATCAAAGAGTTCATTTTGTAACACTCTACCCTCCTGCAGGAAGAAGAAGAATGTTTTACTCATATGACAACATCTTTATAGTTTGTGGGTGCGTTTTGTGTTCATGAAAACCTCAGTAGAACATTACCACCTTCAGGACTAGCTGGGCCACTGCTGAATTGAGAACATCAGGATTGCCAGATTCCTCAGAATCATGTTGGATATTAGGGATACATATTCTCCCATTCAATTCAGTGAATGGACAAGATACCAGGACTTGAAGAGATACTGTGGACTCTTGTCCATAAGGGTACCTTATATTTGTGTATGTAGGATTTATGTCAAGCAATTCCACCCTATTGACAAAATTATCATTTTTACTTGACCGAGTAAAGTTCCTTAGAAGTACAAGTCTGGGGACAAGCCACAATGGTAAAGATGAGCTAGCTGAAGAGCACTGGTAAAAATTGAAGAACCTTTCATGCAGAGTAGTATTAGTAGATGTTGAAAGTAGGGAACAAAAAGAATGGAGAGCATTTGGTAGAACTATTTCCCAAAGTTTTTGATCCTTATTGTATGTTCTTAACACCAGGTGAATATTTCTCAAAATAAGTCCATTGTACTGTTCAAACTGTGAATTGTCTGTTGGGTGGTATGGAGTAGATGTGCTTGTGGCTATTCCTTTCTGAGCTAGATTGGACTTTAATTCTTGGCTAATAAAGGATGCACCTCTATCAGAGTGAACAAGATGGGAACCCACAAAGGTTGAAAATTTGGTCATTTTATCACCATTGCTGAACTGACATCCAGACTTGAAAAGAGAAATGGAAATATTCATCTATAGCCATTAACAAATACTTATTACAAGTATTAGATGGTAAGAGACCCTTAAAATCTATGCTTAACCTTTCCATGGGACCCAATACTCTTATTAATTTCCCCGGTGCAAAAGGTTTGAAGAACTTTGGCTTCAGTTCAGAACAAACTTGACACTGAAAGCAAAACTTCTTCACATCTTCCATTGAATATGGAAGGTTTTTGCATTTAACGAAGTGTAACATCTATGCAACTCCTGGGTGACTACAATGAAGTTCATTTAAAGATGAACATGTTAGGGCTTCACAGTAAGCTTGATTGAAGGTCACTGATAGATCCAAGGTTGAATTTTCAAGCAACTGCTGCCTAATATAATTGAATGAAATCCCATTTATAAAGCCATCTCTGATTTACTCTTCTCTGTATTGTTCCACTGTGACCTTTTTTTATAGTTGCAATCTTTACTAAGATTTCGGAGTTCCTGAAGAAAATTCTCATGGGACTCTCCTGGTGTCTGGTCAGAAGTTGATGCCTAGCAGAGATCTCATTAAGCGTCCTGATATATTGTTGGTCCAATATTTGGATGGTTTCCTTGTAATTTATACAATCCACAGATAATTTATCAGAGATCAGAACTTGTTTGGCGCTTCCTCCCCACATTCCAAAATAAAATTTTCAAGCATTCTTTATCAATGCTTCCAGTCCTTAGAAGCATTAGGAGCATTGCAATCTAGGTCCAGTTGATGTGGTTTGAGTATTTTGGACAAGTTAAATTTTTCCCTCTTTTTTTGAATAAATTCTTATGAATTTAAAAGCAATTCAAAGTGACAAGAAGACAGCAATAATCTTAAAAAAGGCTTTATTCAACAAAAGAAACTGAGCCAAACAACATTGTTGGTGTCTCTCCATGTAAGTCCCCTCCGCAAAATACAGCAGAATTTATGAAAGAAAATGTATGTTCCTTTGCATACAATAAATTTACATACAAAGCACAAAGGAAGTGTTCATTTCATGACATACCATTATAAGAAAATGTAGAGTTTTTGTCTAAGAGTCATTAACATGTCAAATTTCTTCCAACAATTAAATCTCTTCTTTATGTCTATATTGTAAATCTCTTCTTTATGTCTATATTGTAAATCTCTTTTTGATTGATCCCTCCTAGTTTTCCTTCTATAGATTTAAATTTGTTTGCTGTCATTTTTTTCTTTTTCTTCACATTACATTGTCAAAAAAATAAAAGATCATTTCTTCCCTAGAATACCACAGAATGAATCAACTGAAATGTATTGGCGGCATCAAAAGCACAAAGAAAAGTACAGATTTGTAATTTATAACTAATAAATCACTCCTAGAATATTAAAGAATGAAAAATACACCTGATAAAAAAACTGAATTAAGATATTAATTTAACTATATTGCCAGATAGTGACTTCATCTGTGAACTGCAAGCAAAATATCAACATTCTACATTATCTTGACAGAAGCTGGGTTGTAACATTTAACTTACCATTAAACCAAGTTTCATGATCGGTATTTGTCTCAGCTCTAACATTACATTCTTCCTCTTTTACCGATTCTTGAATCTGCTTACATTTTTCCATTGTTTCATGTTCAAGAAGAAATGACCGCAATCTATTACGCTCATCATTTGACAAGATCGTGGAGTCTGATTTTGCCAAGACTTCACTGATGAGATCATAAACTGAAAAATTAAGTCATAAATCTTGTTATAGGCATTTCCATAGGGAGGACAGCATTCAACAGTTTGATGCTAATGACAACAATCATCACCACCATTTTAAAAATACAAAATAACAGAATTGATATTCTGATATGAAATAAGAAAAATATAAGTAACTGGGATGAGTAATTTAAATATTGTAATAAACCCATTTAGATTTTGTTATCTATATGTAAATAAATTTTACATAAGTTTTTATGCTTACTTAAAATATAGTAATTTATTATTTACTAACCCATTCATGATTCTACTTATACTGTCCACTGACAATAAATAAGACTTAATACCAAACTTTTAAAAAATGCCGAAATATACTTGCTGCAACCAACATTTAGCTATGGACAATATACTTTCCAACTTGCTAAATGACATAAAGATGATAAGATGAATATTTTTCATAATGAACATTTTTGGAAATTACTAAAAATTATTTCATCATATATATATATATATATATATATATATATATGTAGGGAGATAATGAGATTATTATTATATTATAGACTGTGTATGAGAAGTACATTGGAATTTTTGTGGAAGGGATAATAAATCAGATAATATGGCCATTGTTTTTTTTAATATTAAATCCTTTAAGAGCTCTGGCTTATATACAATATCACCAATTACTGCAAAAGCAATAGTTGCACAATGCAGTATATAAAGGTGGAGTATCCTTTATTGGAAATTCCAAAATCTGAAAACTTCCAAAGTCCAAAAACTTTTCAGGTGCTGACATGACTTGCCACAAATGGAAAATTTCCTTCTCATACTCACAGTGTGACATCATTGGTATTGTTCCCTCTCCCTCCATTTTCTCATACCTGATGTAGAAGCAGGGTTTGGTGTTGCATTTAGATATTTGTCATAAGTAGTTATCTTTTTCTTTTGGTATATGTACAGAAAGTATTTATACTTTACATTATTTTTACATGAAATTTTACCACTTAAAAATCCGTGTGAGTATTACATGACTAGTGTTATTACCTGTATTTGTATGTACACAAAATTTATTAAATTTTATATAAAACTACCTTCAGAGTATATGTATAAGCTGTGGTATGAAATGTAAAGGGATATCATGTTTATGACAGGGCTCTATTCTTAAGCTGCCCCATTTTATAGAGGCTATGTCCAAATTAAATAGACTGTATTACAAAATCTAAAAACTAAATCACTTCCAGCTCCAAGAATTTTAAATAAAGAATTTTCAACATATATATATATATATATATATATATATATATATATATATATATATATATATATATAAAGGAGATCTACTCAGTGAGCTAATTTAAAATCTAGCAGATGTAAATGGCTTCAATAATTATTACCCTTTCCTCCAAAATTCCAACACACTTTCCTTACACATGGCTTTCTCTCATTTCAACCTAAATATCCTATTAATACACACAAGGTGGTGTTTCATGCTTCAATGCAATCTTCAGGCCATGTGTCATGTTTTGACACAGCTATTTATATATGCAGGTCAGTGGTGCATTATGGGTAGTAATATTTATTGTAGTGATGGTTATTGGGTGAGCAGTAATGGTTATGTTTCAAAATATTGTAAAGGCTAATGAGTAGAAATAATTGTGAATCTGAATGTAGTTACTTGGTAACTTGTTACTCATTATTATTGATTACTTAATTATTGTTGATTATTATTGTTATTACATTTACTTGCATTTTATGTTCATTCATAGTTTATTAATTTGTTTATTATTTACTTAATTTGTTTATTTAGGTTTTTTGTTTATTTTGTTTTGGGTTGGTTATGTTATTTGTTTAAAGTATTGGTTTTGTCTAAAGTGTATTACATTATTTGCGTTGAATATAGTGCATATATTTGCATATTTCATGGTGGTATTTTACAAGGTATTCATTTTTAGTTTTTGAATTTTAAATAACATAGTAATAATTTGTTTTTGTGTCTGCATTTTGAGATGAGTTCTAATTATTTATTTAGTAATTTATGTTGGTCTAGGAAGATGATTCTAGCTGTTTTCTCCTCCAGACAGAGCTCACAATTTTTGGATTTATTGTTGTCAGCTGATACTGTTTTCCTTATTTTCCATTATATTTTTGGTATACTTTGGTTTTTGTTTTTAATTTCCTATATATGTTTAGAAAGCATTGTGCTGTTTGCATATTTGCTATTTGTAAAAGATGATTTTTGTGCATAACTTGTCTGTTTCCAGAGTCCTTCACTTATTTCTTTGTAGATTTTTTTTCTTTCTTACATGCTGATTTTACAGTGGCTTGGTATATTATTTTGTTTTGCAAGCAATTGCCATTTAAGGGACAATCATTCTTTCCTTTGAAGTTAAGGTGGGTTTGGTTTGTGTGGGTGGTTTGCTGGTTATTTTTCTGTTGTGTATTTTTTTTTTATTATTTGTGTCATATACTCAAGTGCAACTGTAGCTGATTTTTACTGTGTTTCTCTTGAATATCTTGTGGAGATTGCTTAATGGGAAGTGGGGTTGTGTATGTGTTTAATGAAAATTTTTCCTACACTTATTTTTATGTTTTTGTTGTATGGTGGGTTGAACCAGATGATTATTGTTTTTCTGTTTGCATTTTTTGTACTATGTGTTGTGTATTTTCACTATCCTTTAGGGCTGTTTCATAATCTTTGTTGGTTTTGATGAAGATGCTATCATTGAAGGAATTGAAAGATAACCTGTGGTTAATTGATTGTGGGATCTTTTACTGAGTGCTTTTACCTATAAATATAGCATACTACAAAATTATATTTTCATCATATACTAGGGTTTTCAGAAAGTAATTACATATTTCACAGCTATGAATTATGAATCAACCAACAAAAGTTGTATGGTAGAAAATGTGTATAGAATTAGTTTCTCATCTCTTCTGGCAGTTTCTCATGTACAGTGCATTTCAGATTCAGAGTTTAATTGAGAAAACTTGTCAAGTGGAAATGATTATTTGTGAGTTTTTGCTTGAGAATCAAACACAACATTACACCATATGCAGCAATCTTTTAACCAGCAATACCAACCATTCATCTTAGGATAACAGGTGATGAAAAATAGATTTTGAATGTCAATAGATAACAAAAAAGACAGTAGTTATAGCAAAATGAGAAACCAGTGCCAATACCAAAACCAGGGCTAAATAAACCATAAAAATCTTGTCTTGTGTCTGGTAGAATATGAGCTACTGGAACATGGAAGGATCATCAAAGTTTATTAGCAACAATTTGCTATTGTAGAAATTGTTCTTTTTTCTTTTATTTTAAACTTTTTTTAATTATTAAAGTATATTACAGAAAGTCTTACATTTAACTGACCAGTGTATAGCAGATTTGGGATTTAATAGGTTATATCACAAGGCTAAGATCAAGTCCATTGAAAAAGAAGCATCCAAACTTGGGATAGGCTCAGGCATTTTCTTTATGATATAAAAAAATGTCCTTGTCAACTTATGATGGATTTTAGGTAAGATTTTGGCTCCTCAACAAAAAGTACACTGTCAAAATGTTGAGTAAATATTACATATTTTTATTATAATAATTTTACATTGTATAAATACTGTATAGTCTAATAAAGTCTTTTATATTCAAAAATGGTTTCCTTGCTTACCTTCAGTTTTAATAAACTTTTGGAATTTAATAGACACCACTTTCACCTCTATTAGTTAAAACAAGAATTTACAGTACTTAATTTTCAGGGAATCTCAAATATTAAAAAAAAAAAAAAATTCAAAATAAATGTAGATGATAATAAAATGCTGTAATAATTACGTCCATTCCATGTTTCCCCAGCTTTGAGAAAAATAAATGATGTCTGTTCAGGAAGTTTTGAAAAATATGACTGTGTATTGACACTTGTGCCATCATTTTCAAGGACAATACTCAATTCATTTGGGTTAATCTAAAACAGAAAAAGTTAGAGTTAATAGGAATACAAAAATTATCTGTCACAAGTATTTCATTATTAAAACAATATTCACAAATGCTTCAAAAGTTAAAATACATACAGAAATTGACTATAGACATGTGGGCATGTGTTTTTTTTTTAATATTCCAGGTTTACTCATTGGCCTGTTATAAATATTTTTGGCAGAATGAGTAGAAGTTCATTCTGTTGATAAGGGACATCAAAAGTATTTTTGCATTTTACAGACTTTTAATACATAGCTCATTTCATGTATATATCTATAGACTATCCTTGACTAAACTATTTATTCTTATTATTATTAGGTATTATGAAAATGGACGCTTTTTTTTCCAAAATGAAAAAAAAAAAAAAAAAATCACTACCACCATTAAAATATTTGTCAAATGCCAGGGAATTGTAAAATTCAAACAGAATTTTCAGTATTTATTCATTAATGAATGAATTGTATACTGAATAAGTTATTTTATTAGGAAATACTGTAGAAATATTATTTTGTGGGATCTGTACCAAACACTTTTCGATATCTTGTGTGTTCTTTTAAATATGTAGGTCTTCAAATTTTTTGGGTTATATAATGAAAAATCCCTGAAGATGTTTTTTCAGTAAAGATTTATGCAGTATCAAGTGTGAACATATGGATAAATTTGTCCCATATCAATAAAACTCAAAAAAATTTTTTCACACATATGGTGGTTGCATAATTTAATGAAACACATTATTTTCTTTCAGACTGGACAGAAAATCAAAATCTACACTTCATATTTATTTTTAAAACTTGTAAATTTTCAGTGCAATTTTGAAATTCATCTCATTGCTGTTCATAAGAGTTTTTTTTCTTATTAATTAGAAAAATGAGTGAAGAATCAAAAAATGTAAAGTTTAATGACATTTTCAAGTGTGAACCTTTTTTAAAAGAATTTTAATTTTTTTTTTTCATTTAAGCAACTGTTAAATTATTTTTGGTATGTTTAAAAAGGAAATAATTCTGAATCAACACTTTTGACTAATATGATATATGATAATTCAATATCTCTTAAATTCAGAATAAAAAATTCATTGGGTGCAATTATGACATCAAATAGGGATGAAAATAATAAAAAATAAAAGCAGTGTATTAATACTATTTAAACTCAAGTATCATTCAAAAATCCTACTGTAGTAGGAAAAAGAATTACTCATTCTAAAATAAAATCGTATAGAATAAAAGTTATATTCTTAAACTATTGGTTATACAAGGTTGAAGATAATTTATTTTTAAACAAATACCAATGTTTTGAGTTTTGTTTTGACTAATGCACTATTAGTGTTCAGTATTTTTTTTTTTTTCGCGCGCCTTTTAAGTCATAGGTGAGGAAATACGTGTTTTACTGTTGAATTTTGACCCCACAGGTTACCAAAATCCAGTTAATTAATTCTTACATTTACTAAATGACTTTAAAACATACATCTAAATATTGAATTTTTAAATAAAAATTTGTCGTTTCCTTTTTTTCGTCTATAAATGGCGGTTCGATGAGTGACGAGAAAATGTGCCAAGCTTTTAAAAAAATGCCTAAAAAGTAAAAACTTTATTTACATATGGAAATTAATTTTACTTTTAATTCGGATTAAATTTTTAGGATTTAAAATAATACCGAAATTTAAGTTCAAAGAATTTTAAGTTATTTAAAATGTGTTTTTTTTTTTTTTTTAATATGATGGGAGAGTCCGCACGGCGTAGTGGTATCCAATTTAAAAACGTATGAAAAATATGAAGTTTTTTCAGGACGTTTAACCCAACGTTTTCCTAAGTATTTTTTTAAACGTGTATGAAAAATCGTTACATAGTTGAATTTGATCACAAACATTGACATTTGTTAGTTTGATCTGTTATACTTTCTGATTATCAACTCCAAATCCCAATGTTTTTTTTTTGTTTTTTTCCCCAAGGTAATGATGACTTATCAATCACGAGACATAGTAACCCTGTTTCAATTACAGCTTTAAACCCACTTTACTAAGTACATTTGTGTTAGTCATTTCAAAGTAAGTAAAAAAAACTTTACTTAATGACTAACTAACACCAATTTCCTTATGCAAATAAATACAATTAATTAACAATCTCCCCCAATATTAAAAGGGCTCGGTTCGAATTTTTCTGAAGATTAACCAGATGAACAAAAAACACGTAAAGAAAGCCAGGGCACAACGGCTGAAAAAGTGTAATAACAAATAATGAGTCTGAATAAAATAATTAACTTTGCGTTTAAAAAAATAAAATTATCCACTCCTGCTTTAATGTTGTTTTCTTTTTTTTTTAACTATTCGAATTTTACTGATAACAGGTTGGACCTGGTTGAGGTAAGAAGAGAACCAAACTCCAACCCTAACCCTTGTCATTTGATATCTTACAGGTCCAGGGGATGTTGGTTTCATTCAACTTTCAAGTAATGGCTGTGATAGTGTATGTTGGTGACGTGACATACCCATGTTTTCTTAAAAAATAAAATCATCAGCAAGCCACGCTACGGAAAAAAAAAAAATAAATAAATGTCTTTCTCAAAAAATAAGATAATGAAACTTTGGTAAATTTATATTATAACACCCGAGCGCTAATATCCCTTCAAATTTTTCCAAAAAAGTCTTAATTCCGTGCAAATGTATATGCTTAACTCAAATCAACAATTAGATATTGAAGAAACCTACCTTTTTGGATGTTAACGACTAGAAATAATTGGACTTCTTCTCGCTCTTGAGCCTTATTGAGAGAATATTTATTGAACAAATGTGGCACAAGGCCGAAAAGGGGATTGGGGTAAGGGCGGTCATCACTTGTCTTATATTAAACTTAGCTAGCCACAATCACTGACCCTATCATACAGAACAATATTCCTTTCTTGAGCCTTATTGAGAGACATTCGCTGCTGAACCATTTCGCGCACTTATACAATTTTGGCCTAATTACTCCCTCAACGAAATTAATACGCGTTTTTTTCTTTTTAATTTAAAAAAAGTTAACTTTTAACTTTCAAATGTCTGAAAGCAAGTGTAGTTTTTACTTAATTTTTTAAGAAGAAAGTTAACTTTCAAATATATGAAAATATCGACAATTAAAAGAATAACAAAGTACAATATAAATTTACCGAAACTTTTTGATAAAGGAGTTGTTGAGTACACACGCACAAAAACTATCAGTGAGTAAATGGCAAAATCGAAAAAAAATGTTATGCGTTTCGACCTTTGAAAACACTTTCAATAACAATAGAATTGTAACATAAGGCCTCATTTACTATTTTTAAATTAAAATTCAACAACTTGTTAATGTTAAGGAAGCTAATAGCATTGGAGTTGCTTTCACGTTTGTTCTAAATAAAATAAAAGATCAATGTAAAAAGACCAAAACTGAAAGTAGTTTTAAAAAACATAAAAAAAAATAAAAACTTTGATTGTCCAGTATCCCTAAATGAAACCAACAGTAAGACGAGAATGACAATTGAATTGCCTTTTAAGATTGAAAAGTAAAAAAAAACTAATTTACTCACAAAACAATGCTATCCTACCGATTTTTGCTATAGACACCATTTAGTTTTTTGGTTATTTCTGCGTAAGCTAGGATTTTCTGTTTTAAGTGCTTTAATAATAATTCTTTAAGTTGACGAAAGAAATTAGAGACAATTGAATATGAATACGAGAAAAACTACAACTTAGAAACATAGTGTATTTTTTAATGAATGTGAAGAGAAAATGTCTTAGATTATATTTTTAATACAAGCCAGAATGGTAAGTAAGGAAGGAATAAAAAACAAAAACAAAAGTAAAAAACCGTGTTCGTGAAAAAAAAAAAAAATCACTATACGAGATAAATAAGATTTTCTGAGTGATCATTAATAATTTAAGTTAGTGAGTAATTAAATAAAAAATCATCCCTTTTTTCTTGTTTTAGGTAGAGAGGATAATTATTTTTTAATTGAGCAAATTTAACAACAGGTGTGGAAGTTTATAACTAAAAAAATAATTATGTAAATGATGATGAAATAATAATGCGCTTTTTACTTACAACACAACAAAAAATAAATATAATTAGGAAAAATATTATTCAATTTAAAAACAATTACCTTAAATATCTCACATCCCTTTTTAGTGAGTTCTTCCAAATTTCGTGCCGTGACACCAACACGTTTTTTCTTTAAATTTTGTATTTTGTATGGACGTTTAGTTGCGAAAAGAGACTTTAACCAATCAAACATGTCTAAGCTGTTTGATAGATGAAGGTTGAGCAAAAGACAGTACCAACAATTTACCAAAGACGGTTGTTAAAGTAAAACTACACCTGAAGATAAAACAGGAGTTTTCATATTTCCACTTCCGTGTCTTAATCGCCCCGCCTCTGATGACAGTGCGACGGTGCATATTCAAAAACAATTCCTGCTAAAATTAATGTCCTTATTTGTGTAGATTTGAGTATCAACCCATCAGAAAATTACGCATTCCCTCCTCCAAACTCAGAAATTTAGAGAGGGGAGTTGCGAAAAAGATATTTCAACAAAGTTTTGTAAAATAACACATTAAGCATAAAACTCATTCATTAATGAATGTTCTGACTTGAATTTAATTTAAATCGGGCAATCCCCTGACTTTTGTTTGACATTTCTAGCGATTTTTTTTGTCTGTTTTTTATTATCCATTTTTTTTTCTTGCGTTCAATATCGAAAGCGCGCACGCATTTTGGTGATACCCGCTTTATTATTTTAAATGTCGTAGTGGGATATAAGAAATTTATGGCCGATCGAATTAGCAGATGAATTGTGACATATTTCAAATTTGTTATCAGGCTCCGAACTTCATAGCGAGTTCTGTTTTATATCGAAAATCTCCTTTTCAATCAATGGATTCATAATAAACTGAAAGATAAACGCATTTTGGTGAATCGATCGGATATTATACTCTACTTTGAATTCGATCTCTTTCTGATTTATTCCACATCAAAACCCGTCAGTCGGATGTGATTGCTACGAAAGCAAATTAAAAAAATTTAAAAGTCGCACTTTGCGCAGGGGCTCTGAGTATCACATCTGGTTCACAAAACAACCCCTTTCACAAAAAAAAAAGAAGAAAAAAAAGAAAATACAATTTAAAAGGAGCCAACCACGAATGTCGCCATTAAAACTAAAGCATGAGGAAAATCGCTGAGTTATAGATCCGCCCTGATTGTTTAAAAGGATCTGCTTGTGACACTTAAAACAGTAAACAGGCCATCACCGACACCACAATTGCCCCTCGGTCAATCGGCCCGACATAAGCTTCAATGCCAATCACAGACTCCGCATACTCCAGGTCACTTCCCTCGCCAAACAAAGAGACATTCCGCCTTAATCATTTATTGACAACGCAAAGAATTTTATTCTGACATATTTTGTTTCCTTTTCTTTCCACCTCACCGGCAATATTTTGTTGTATCGTTTGTTCTCGTTTTTCGATACGCAGTATGTAATAATAATAATAATAAAAATAATAATAATAAAGAGAATAACGGGAACAAATTAGATGTGAGCTTTCTATATTAGATGAGCTCACCAGAAACCCTAATATTTCCACACGCAAGTGCAAAAAGATCAAGCGGAAATATAAAATTAAATCCCTAATTGACATTCCATCAATCACGGAAATGCTGAAGCAGAATCTTCAGCTAAAGGCACAGAGAACAAGATGATACGAAAAACGTTGTGGGTTCTATCGCTAAAATAAAATATTCCAAACGGACCTTAAGAAATTTTACAGGGAAATTGGGGAAACACCTATACATGTCGAAAGGCCACCATCGATTGATAATGTACAGACATTTTGGGAAAATATTTGGAGCAGCCCAAATGAATATAACCCAAATGCAGAATGGATCCGACGTGAAGAAGAACGAATGCTGGATACACCTCTGCAAGAATTGGAAAATATATCCACAGATGATCTTAGGCAAGCTCTAACGAAATCCCCAAAATGGAAATCCCCAGGAAATGACAATCTATCCATAAAATTCTTGCAAGAACATTATCAAAGCTTGTAAATAATCCCAATAAAATCCCGGAATGGATTACTGAAGGTATTACATACCTCATGCCAAAAACAAGTGAAACAGACGACCCGAAAAATTATAGACCGATAACATGACTCTCCACAACGTATAAGTTGATCACGTCTGTCCTGACAAACCGTACTTATTGCTTTTTCGAAACAAACAGCATTCTTCCCCTGGAACAGAATGGATGCAGGAGATGTTCATATGGCTGCAAAGATCAACTACTGATAAACAAAATGATCCTGGAAAATTGCAGGAGACGACGTAGAAATCTTAGCGCAGCGTGGATTGATTATCGTAAAGCCTTTGATAATGTTCTACATTCTTGGATCTTTAAAACTTTGGAAATGTGCAAAGTCTCCCCTTTAGTATTAAGCACGGCACGGGAATGTGGAACACCAAACTATACCTTAGTCACACCAGAGGCACTGCCATATCCAACTGTCTAAATATCCGACGTGGAATCTTTCAAGGAGACTCTCTGTCACCCCTTCTGTTTTGTTTGTCCTTAATCCCCCTTACACATGAACTGAACAACAGTAGCTATGGTTACAAAATAAATAAGAAAATATTCAATCACCTACTCTACATGGATGATCTCAAACTCTTTGACAAAGACGACAATGAGTTGAAGGGCCTCCTCAATATTGTAAAATACTCGTGACGACATACGTATGGACTTCGGATTAGATAAATGTGCAAAAGTAACATTCAAGAAAGATAGAATTACAGAAAAACCTTTAATAGATTTAGATTTTGTCACAAAGATTAGGGAACTGGAGCACCTAGGAATTAGCGAAGGAGATGGCATACAAGACCCCCAAATGAAGAAAGTAAGAAAGGAGTACTACAGGCGTGTACGTCTGGTACTAAATACCGAGCTAAACTCAAAAAACAGAATATCAGCCATAAACACACCTTGGCTGTCCCTGTGGTGCAATACAGTTTTAATGTCCTTAACTGGACCATAGCTGAAATTAAGCGAATGGACGCCAAAACGAGAAAGCTTCTCACTTGCTACTGCATGCATCATCCCAAAGCTGATGTTGATCGTCTGTATGTGCCCAGATCCGAAGGAGGCAGAGGATTAGTTCAACTAGAACTGTTCTACAAAACTACAACAATTGGCCTCCAAAGATACTTGGAAACTACAGAAGACTGGATGATGGTATGTGTCAAAGAACATGAAAGTAATAAGCGTCTTTACTCCGTAATAAAGAAAGCCAACAAATTCAAATGGGCGCAGAAATACAAGTAAAGCACAATATATGAAGCTACAAAATACTTAAAAATAAAGCAAAGACAAATGCAACCGACCAGATACAGGAACAATGGCAAGATAAACCGCTTCATGGCCAATACTCTGCCCGTACCAAACAAGATGACGTAGACAAAACCCGTACCCATCAGTGGCTACGTAGTGCAGGGTTGAAAGCTGAAACTGAAGGAACAATGCTTGTTAACTAGGAATTATCAAGCACATATACTAAAATATTGTGTTAGCCCAAAATTCAGATTCTGTGATAAATATCCAGAAACAATTGATCATGTTGTATCAGGTTGCATGATATTGGCACCCACAGAGTGGGTAAGTATCTGCACTGGAAAATATGCAACTTCTACGGGAAGGGAACTGAAAGAAACTGGTATGAACACTACCCAGACCCGGTTATGGAGATAGGACCTTTTACAATTCTATGGGACTACACAATACACACTGAGAGAACAATCAAAGCCAATCGCCCAGACATTGTTATTAGAGACCACAAAAAATGCCTCCTTATTGATATGGCAGTCCCTGCAGACTGCAATGTATCTTTGAAGATATTCAAAAAGCTGTCAAGATACAAGGACCTTGAAATAGAAATCTCAAAAATGTGGCATAGGGGAACATCAACAATCCCTGTTGTAGTTGGAGCCCTAGGACTGGTTGGAAAAGACTCCAGTAGACTAATTGAAGGGATTCCTGGAAGTCCATGCCCCAAAAAGATATAAAAAATTGTTCTCACAAGTACAGCCCACACTTTACGAAGGGCTTTATCTATGTAAAATATGTGTGTGTGTGTGTTTTTAATTGGTCAGTGGAAAATATATGGTACCATTTCTAACCTTAGGTCTCTGGGTGGGACCCGGAAAGAAATGTGTAAACGCCAGAAATCAATGGAAATAAAGTAATAATAATAATAATAATAATAAGGATATGGCGGTCCCTGCAAATTGCAATGTATCTTTGAAAATCTTCAAAAAGCTATCAAAATACAAGGATCTTGAAATCGAAATCTCAAAAATGTGGCACATAAGAACATCAACAATTCCAGTTCTAGTTGAAGCTCTCAGATTGATTGGAAAAGATTCCAATAGACTCATTGAAGGGGTTACTGGCAGCCCATGCCTTAAAAAAATACAAAAAAAAATGTTCTCACGTGTTCTCATGTGTAATTTTTTTTATGTTCAGTGTAAAATGTCATGATGTCATTTCTGACCTTAGGTCTTCGGTCAGGAAATGAGTACACACCAGAAATCAAAGGAAATAAAATAATAATAATAAATATAAGAAATGTAGGTCACCAAATGATAAACCGATATAGAAGTTAAACACCAAGAAAAATATAAAAACAATGAGTGCAAAAATATCTAGTTTATTTTGGTGGGTTTTATAAGAGTAATGAACTAAGATTTTTTAAAAATTTAGTTCCCTACTAAAACCTGAATTATTATACCAAACGCAAAACCCTAATTATTAAGAAGAATAAAATGGGAAAAGTGAACTCTTGGTTCTCATATTCCTAAGTTGAAATAGGTGCAAATAACAAAATTTAAGCGCCGCGCAAAATTTTAAAGAAAAAACATTTATTACAGTAGACAAAAGAAGGTACAAATACAAAATTTACACAAAAATTCCCTTTTATGAGTCTAATAACTTAAGGTAAGATAATGATTTCTGATATGTTGCAAAAAAGGATTACTATCGAAAATGAAAAAAAGGATTATAATTTAGAAAAAGGATTCAATTTCGAAAAGAGAAAGCATATTCAGTAGGGCAGAAAAACAAAAGTGCAACCACTTTTGGGGAAAAAAAAACGAAAAAACAAAAACTACTTTTACTTATTCTAGTAGTGTCTTTGGGACATATAGCAACTTTTTAAATGTCTTTTTTTTATATTCACATTGTTCATG